CCTTGTAATAGTATTTGGGTTTTTTATACCCTGGCTCAGGACCTGATCTTGGTCCCAGCCAGCCCCTGGCTTGGGCTTATCCTCTGTCTTGTCACCTTAGTCGTGCTCTCAAATTCCTCATGCAGCATATACCTTTCTACTCTATCGCAGTCTATTCGCTGCAGAGGTGGCAACAGGAGCATCTTACACAGAGGTCTCATCACATTTCAAGTTGAGCACATGCCAGATTCGGTATGATGCCATAGGCTGATAATGTGATGGTTTACCCCCCTGTCCCTAAAAATCCACCACCAAAACTCTTGATTAAGAACAAACAGGCAAACCTCCAAACAAATGCCTTTCAGTTTTGCAGAATTATGTATAATCKAAAACAAGGTTTTATAATCGATAGTAGGTTGTGAGCAGTTTTAGAGAACATTGTGAGCTCCATTGATGATAAAGTGTATGAAGAAATTGTAATCTCTAGGCACATATATATATAAACACATGTGTATGTGTGTGTATTCCTGCCAACATCTRCTTTCACTTCACAGTGTGTAATGGCTCAGCTTTGTCTCACTGAGAGAGGAGCAGTCTCAGTTACTATGGGACAGAATCATACATGTAAGCAATTACTGTGGATTATCTGATGTAACATAAATTCACCGCCTTTGGGCTTGAAAGTGACATGCCCTGACTTCCTAACTTGTATACTGTTGCTTCTTCAAAACAGAATAAACCCCCAGCCATGASCAGCACCTTTGTCTCATGATTCTCATAGTTGCTGCTGCAGTTGCCAGGTCCCCTTTGTGCTGGAATAAGCTCTTGTCTGGATATTTTGCACTGCAAGGGAGAGTTTGCACTGAAAAAATTAGTAGTAGATGGCTATTTCTAGTGAAAGCCTCAATACTAAACTTCTACTGGTACTTCAGGAACCAAATGAAAACCTCTCCTTAAGCRTAATAGTTTTAGAAGTGTATCTAATACTGTAAACTTCCTGTTACACATTTAATTCTCAGTGGGATTTCTCCTAAGGGATAGTAGTTTTAAAACAGCTGATACATCTCAATTGGTCTTTAAGTATTTTAATTCAGGAACAGTCATCAGAAGGTTGCAAATGACACTGCAGTAGCGTTTGTTTCTGTATTTTCTGGAATGCAGTAAAATTTCTAAGGAGTTTAGCTTGTATGTAATATCATAAAATAAAACTGGTGTTTCTGCMTCTAAGCAACTTATTTTTAACTCTGAAACTCTTGAGTCTATTTTCATTTTTGTTTATGTAAAAGGGAGAGTAGAATATTGCATTCGTCTTAGTAGGATTATGCTGTGCAAAGCAGATGTTAAGCTCCTGTAACACACAAAGGGGGCTTTATGTTCTTTCACATCTGTCTGCATAAACAGCTCTGTTAACTCTTTAGGACTCATGTGCAAAGCTCCTTGCTTCTATTAAGTGACTGCCTCGGGAAAGACTGACGGGGTCCCAATTTTTTTGGGGAAAAAATGTCAAAAATTCAACTGAAGTCAAATGCTGCCCTCTTTGACCGTGTGAGCTGCCAAAGGAAAGAACATCCATGTCTGTAGAGGTCTAAAAAGAAAGCCTGGAAAGGTCACCAAGTTTTATTGCCTTACTGTTTATACAAATAGTGCAATAGTAAGTTGAAAGTGCTTTCTCAAAGCTCGTGTTGTGAAGCTGCTTGGCATTTCATTTCATAGGCAATGGTTGAGAGGCTCTTTGCACCAGTGAGGGGTTTGAACTCTTGCATCTCTGAGCCAGAATCCATTAATGAAACTTCTTCATATCACATTGATACACTGTTTTTTTGGGTTTTTTTTGAGGAAAACTGAGAAGTATCACTTTGTTAGAAGAAACAGTGCAGTTTGTACTATTGTAGTTTTCCTACATAGATACCACCTCCAGATTAAATTCAAAATCTCTTTTCAGCCTTTTAGTCTCTAATGAAGTTTTGTCCCTTTTCAGTCTTGAATTATCTTGTTAGAATGTGAATTCTTTTTGTGTTTCATTGAGTGTACATGAACCACAGTGGGCTGTGTTATGTCTCTTCTTCATGAATTGCATCTTAAATCTGGTGACTCCATTATCTGTGCTGTGTGTTTGGCAGTGTTGTGTAATGGCATTGCTSGGGTGGGAAGTGTGGAGAAGGAGTATGGTGGTGCAGAGGGTTAGCCTTGACTACTTGGAGAATCTCAGCACACAATACAGCTTTACCATCYGCACAACCTTGCCCTGAATGAGCAGTACAGGCTGGCAAAGTGACATCTGACCATGCTAGTGTATGTAGAAAGGGTTTACTACTGATTTTGCTACGAATAGGCTTTCGTTCTTTCTGTGTTTCAGGAAATTAGTGCTTAGATACATAAAAATTTGCCCCAGTTGAATTAAATCAGTTTAGTTTCACTACAGTGAACGTTTGTAGTGACACTGGAATTTTACTGTGTGGTRCATGTCACCTGCTGTGGCTGATTTAAGTATGAAAAAAAGTCACTCTTGTACTGGACTATGTATCCTAATGAATTTAAATTCTTCTTCATGTGCAAACAAAAGACAAGTGTGCACTAATGAGAGAGAACAGTTTCGTTTCCTTCTTTATGTAGTTTAACACTGTGCAGCCCACCACAGCAGAAGAGCTCATCAGTGCTGTACACCAGGAATGTTGCCCAAGGCTCTCCCCAGTGCCTTCTGCAGGACCTGTGGATCCTACAGCAGTGGAGTGTCTGTGCTGTTGGGTCTCCAAATGCTTGGACTGAAAGGGAGCCTGGCTCTGCTGTGGGCAAATCCTGCTCATCGGGGAAGGGGCTCAGAGCTGTCAGACAGCATTGGTTTTATGTGTGATTTATCTATGAATAACCTACTTTTATAATAGTTCAGTGCTGTACCTGAAAGCTGAGACTGCCTGGGGCTTGGTGGGGGTAGGATTGTTCAGCTTCAGTTGGTGATGTATCACTGTCTAACRGGATGTGATTAGATACTGGTAAGAAGCTGAAGGAATATTTGCTGTCAGCATGATGTTTCATTTAAGYTTCCTTTTGGTATCAAAACAGCCTTGTAAATTATTGTGGATAAGATCAGTAGACAGATTTTTAGTTATGTTGAAAATAGTTCTTAGTCAGGATTTAAATGTTTCTCTGAAATTTTGGAGATCAGGGGTTATTGGAGAATGACAATAATCCATAAAACCCARAAGGTAAAATTAAGTGCTGCAGTCTTGCTTCTCAAAATGAACAAAATGTAAATACTCAAAGGTATAATGCAAGGAGGAAACCCAGATTTTKAAACTAGTGTTTATGAATTATAGAGGTTTTTTTAAAATATGTTGAATTAAGAATCATCTTTAGTGGCTGAGAAATCTATGGCTGAAAAGTAACTTGAATTTTTTTTTGCATAAAATAGTAACAGCCATCTTGAATACTGCAAAATCTTTGGTGTCCTTAAGGACTTGTTTCTGTGTGGTACGCARTGAAATTCCACTTGTCTGAATCATTTGAGTAAGATTTTTCAGTCAAGTTTTATCCTTCTCAGTTTTAAGTCCACTTACAGGGACCAAATGTTTAAAGAGCKGCAAGCTGAATGAATGCACTCTTTGATAAAAGATAACAAAGCCCGCAACTGAGAAGCTTTGCTGCTCTTTGGGCAAGCACAGTTGATTTAACTTGGTACATGTTTATGAATCCCCAAACTAACTGTAGTTATTATACTTGAGTCATGCTAAACAAATATAGCTTTACATCTCAGGAGCCTGGCATGTGTTTCAAGAGGCTGGCATGTATTTTCTTTACATGATCCCAGGAGTGGCTTGCTTAACCTTTTAATTGGCAGGAAGAAAACTCACTTCATGGCCTGAGCCACAATCGTCTCTGAATAATATAAACAGTGATGACCTGAACTTGATCTTTTAGACAAGGGACTCACTTTTCTTGGTAGTTGCATTATACAGACAAACTAATGCTCTGGGGTCAGCGAGGGGCTTTTGTATATCCAAGCACAATAAAGCCAGAAAGTGTTTCCTGCTGTTTAGCTAATTAATGCAGGGTACCACTCAGTAGGAGTCAGCAGTGGGTTTGCTGCCTGTCACTGCTATTGTACTGCTTGCAGAAGGATACAGAGCAAGGCATGTGGGAAAGGAATGAATTTGCTGTCTTGTTCCACCTATTGCAGGACAGAACAAAATGCACAGATTCAGCTATTGATTCATTTGGTGAAACAGGAAAAAATGTGGTACTGGAATGGTCAAAGCATATTTCTCACAGTTGTAAATAAATAACAAAAAGAAATCAATAATACCCTGTGTGTGATGTGATGCTGCTAGAGCAGAATTATCTGTGTGTGTCCTTAAGTTGCCCTCCATCCTGACACTGGAGGGCACATCTGAAAGGAAAAGACTGACAGCTTTTCCCTATTAGACTTTTCTCTTATATCATGTTTTATGATTTTTGGTAAAATAAAGAATTTTGAGACTCTAAAAGCACCTATAACTTGTTCACATCTCGTATTTTCCAATGTAAGTTTACTGCAAAGCATCAAGTTCCTTTTCAGTAGTTAATGTAGCAAAATATGTGGAGGCATTTGGGGTCTGCTCTGATCTTGTATTCTGGTCAGGTACAGTCAAATTGTAAAGAGAAAATGTAAGGTGTCATAGTGAACAGCATGTATTGCATATTTGAGCATAAGGGAGCTAAATCATCTTAATTCTTGTTAAAACCTAGTGGGGTATGTGCTGCCTGTGGCTGCCTGCCTTCTCAGCAAGTTTTTAAGTGGATTATTAGCTAAGTGGAAGGCTGTTTGCAGCATCTTAAGTTTGACAGACATGTGATTGTGCAGGGGGAGGGGAAGGGAAAAGGKCTCTTGCTCTCAGACAAAAGATTCTCATAGACTAGTATCTTCCAMACTGTATTTTGTACTCATGTTTGTTTTATCTCATTTTAATCTGGATTGTTATAGATATTTCAGGCWCAGACAATAACTCTTCTATTTGGTTTTGGTTTTGTTTTTTTTTTTTCCTCAGAACTGCTTAATAAAACATGATGAGAATGGATACTCGGCAATAGTTGGAGACTTTGGTTTAGCAGAAAAAATTCCTGATCACAGGTATGTGAGCTAGTCTAAATGGAGTGAGAATTGCAATACAACTGCTGGTCAGAAGCTCTAGTGAGCCAGATCCCTGAGGCTGTTATTGCACTCTTGTGYAGAATTTGCAAAAAATACCTTCAGTCTTCAGGCTGGATAGCCAAAATGTTCCAGCCTTAATTACTATCCATTTTGATATTTAGKGGTGACATTTATTCTTCAAAAATGTTCCAATTGCTAGAGGATTTGCTCCAGCTTTTCGGTAGATCTTTTAAGCTGGTACTTGGGAATTTTGGGTTTAAAAAAACACACAACACAACAAAGCAAACAGAAAAATACTGTCCAGCATTCTGGGTTGGGATGATTTTGTAAGAAATGCCATTTGTTGATTTTAAGCAACTTTAGCATCTTTCCATTTTCCTAAACAATATCCAGYGGCACTCCAGCATTATTCTAATTTAACCTCTGGGTTAGTTGTTAAGATCCAGGTTTATAACAGAGTAAAATAAAATTGTTATAGAATTACTCTCTAACAGTATCTTACCACTTTCGCTAGGATAAAATTATAGTCTTAAGTCATCTGAGGAATGCACAGGTCACTGTCACAAGCTATTGTCACAATTGAAAATAGTCCTTTTGTCATCCCTCCATTAGGGAGATCAAGGACAAGGATTTCATTGTTCTCTCTGTATATTGACTTGTGTATTTCAGAGTATTCTGACTGTGAAATCTGCTGTCAGATTTTCTCCAGTGTGTGCTTCTGCGTAAAATAAATAAAAGCCTTCCAGCACTTTTGACTGCAGAGAAAACAATAAMAGTTGATCTTAGCTATGCATAGTCTTTAAAATGCACGTATCCTAAACCCATGTCTTCACAGGTCTGAAGGCTTGCATCAATATTGGTGAAATATTGAAAYTAAAAGCTTAACAAAGTGAACATCTTAATTTCCAAACTACTGATAAGTATAGCCAATGTGTATCTTGCAAATGCTGTRGAGCACCCTGTGAGGTTCTCAAAGCTTTGGCTGTGTTTGGATGAACCCATCAMAAAATCAGAAAGTCACTACAGGTGTCTTAAGATTTCCTTCGTACCCAGCTTTGAGATGCCCTGAAAACTGAGTACAGTTAAGGTAGCATGAGACTAAAACAAGCAATGTCATTGCAACATTAGCCACTATTTTGATCTTATCTAGTTTTACCTCCATTTTCAAATGCAGCTTTGTTCTTTTCCAATTTGCTGGTAACAAGCCATGCTACTTTGAGGCCTTCAGAGGTTTTTTKKTTTKSTTTTKKTTTTTTMWAWAKAKATWYYCYC